CCCATCATAAAACTTCCTTTCTCTTGTTGTTTGTCTGTCTCCTACTTAGACTATAACTCTTCCAATCAGGATCTGACTATTACTTTCTGCTTGCTGGTTGCCTAACCCACTAGGGCACTGGTTTCAGTTGAATCTTCTAGGGTAGGTGCAGACATTCAAAAAGCCCAAGGCAGAATCTATCTAAGTTATGTGGTTTTCTGCAAGCAGCGTAGTTTAGATCGATAGCAAACAGAATACACATTTGCCCTTTGATGGGAGGAGGAGGAGGGGGTGGGGCAAATCTTAGACCAGGTTCTGCCACTTTTTAAATTGGTCTGTGTGCTGAATTTCTGTTTTTTTATGGGTATGGACTGGTTTTTGATCACTTATACGGGTAAAAGTATAATATGTGTACCTGGCCCTAAATGCTAGTGTGATGCAAATACCTTTACTACCAAGGAAATATTTGTGAAGGCAGGATTCGTGTTAAATAAATATTCATTGTAGACTGATGGGTTACAGCTACACTGAAGGTTTTGCTGTGTTACAAGACTTGATTTATTGTAGAACAGCCCTTAAAAAGTTTATTGAAAATAATTTGTTTGTTTCCAGAATCTCTGTCCCAAACTTGTGAGGAAATATAAATTTCTTAATAATACCAGGATGTGACAAATGATGCTCCTTACTTTTATTATTGTACAGAAATGTTTTCCCATCAGACTCAAATAAGAGTGACAAATGGCATATGGCCAGAAACTAATGGGACACGTGCTTCAGAGCTTTTTGTCCTAGCCCTCCTCATCTTCTAGTGAATGAAAAAATATTGCCCGTGTTCTAATTAAGCCTCATTATAAAGTAAGATACACCTACTTTAAAGTTCCTAGTGAAACAACTATTACTTTGCCCATAAGAGTGGGGAGAAAAACTCTCTAATACATCTCCAAGAGAATTTATGGGGTAAAAGAAAAAGAGAGGCAGAGTAATTTTGTTTCTTGAAAATGGATAATACACCTGTCAACATGTATTTATTTTGGTGGCCTTCAGTGACATTTTTAGTGACAGCAGAAAGAGGCTAAAATTGCATCTATGAGACCCCATAGAGAGTTGGGTAACAGAGAACTATATTAATTTTAACATGAAACAAACTACTTAAACCAAGCTCCCCCTTCTCCTCTGTTGTATTGGGATCTTCCTCAGACCTCCTCCTCTGAATCATCTTATTGAATAGACTTTTTTTTTTTTCTCAAATTTCTTCACATATGTTTCAAAAGAAAAAGGAAGAAAAAAAACAAGGCCATCTGCTATTTTCTTTATGAAAAAAATAAAACCTACAATTAGTGTCTTGTTCATCTTTTCTTTTTCAAAAAAAGAGAACTATTATGCAAATACTCCGCAATTTGGTTTCAAATACACTTTGTACTGTGATGAGCAATTTTCTTTAATACAAACCCAGCCTCCTTGCCAGGATTTTTTTTTAATGTAGGAAAAAAAACCAAAACCCTTTTGAATCTTTTCTTTTTTTGTTGTGTTCCTCTGATGCCAACTTTTTATCATTGTTTTTTTTTTTTTTTCCCACGTGGTATTATTATAGTTGTTATTCTTTAAGTTGTCAGAAATATTTCTTTACAGGTTTTTGGGGGGAGAAAACTGAAATAGCTTCACAAAGCCTCATTCTTCTCTCACTTTTCATTGTTCCTCTGCCTCAGTGAAATGGTTGCTACTGAAATGCTGATCTTGGGAAATCAGAGATAAATGTTTTCTGTCCCCTTTCCTGAAAGCAGGGTCGTGGTAATGGCAGCTTTCCCTATACTACGGATTTGTAGGAGGATTCCAGTTGCTCTGTGGTGCTTGCCTGTCTTGCAACCAATGGGAGACTCTTGGGGTAGAACCACAGGACTGAGTTTACACACTCAACTCCTTGCAGACTCTGCTGTCAATATTATTACAGTTGTGCCTGGAAGGCTCATTGCGATCAGGGCTTACTAGTGCTAGGTGCAGGGCAAATAGATTATAGGAAGCAGGATCTGCCCTGAAGAGTTTGCAGTCTTAAACAGATTGACAAAGGTGGGACAAAAGGACTATTTAATAGCATGACAAATGGAGAGATAAAATGACTGGATTGAGGTCACCTGGGAAGGTACTAGAGTCAGGAACTGAACTCATGAGTCAGATTTCTACAATCATTTAAGTGACTTAAGGGAATAAGCCCTGCTGACTTCCTTGGAATTTGCAAGCCTAATTATTTAGGCATGTTTGACAATCCTACTCTTAATTATCCCACTCTCAATGCTGTTTACAAAGCATAAAATGGTCTTTCAGGGAAAATTCCCATTAACATCATATTGCTACAAATGCTGAACACAAGGGCCTTGCTCCAGCAAAGTTTAACTGTGAGGGTGGGCTTCAGTACTTTGCTAGATTAATGCCAGGCTGGTCCACATCCTGTGGGAGTACAGAGAGGTAACATTTAGTTCTTAAGGGTGCATCTACATGAGTTGCTTAATGAGAAGTAGCTTAAAAACACTGTACAGTAGCGTGCCAGGCAAAAAAGTGCTAATATACTATTGTGCAGTAGTATTACGCTACTGCACAATAAGAATCACAAAAAAGTGCGCCAGCACTACTGCACCATAGTGCAAGCTACTGTGCATTTGGTTAGTACTTCATTAAGCAAGTACTAAATTAAATGTGCAGTAACTACTGCGCATTAATGAATGTGTAGACACACCCACAGTGTAACTGTTGGTCAGGGCCAAGTGGCCTGTGCAACTTTTGGGGGAATGCTTCCTATAGACAGATGTTAATGACTGCATCTTTGAAGCAGATAATGGTCTCATGTAATGAATATGGTCACCATTACATTTTTAATGGTCTGTCAAAGCAATAGACAGCTGTTTTTTTTGCAGGAAGGCACAGAATTTCCATGCAAAGGTTTCCATGGAGCTGGAGTGATTGACAATAGTTGATGACTTGGCCTACTGTTCAGTATTGTGCAACATAAATTTCATCAGATTGGATCTTACCAACAAGTGCCTTATGTTATCTCATGAGAAACAGGAAGATAACACAAACCAGTGTAGTACCTGGGAGCTACAAAATACTTTCTGATATTGCACAGGGAGCTGTAAATCTTCAGTAAATGGAACCTCTGAAAGCCACAATATCTTTGGGATGTTTTTCTTGTTACAGGAAGCTCTTATTATGGCAAGCATGGATCATCCACACCTGGTACGACTCTTGGGGGTCTGCTTGAGCCCTACCATTCAGCTGGTCACTCAACTGATGCCTCATGGCTGTTTGTTGGACTATGTTCATGAACATAAGGATAACATTGGCTCCCAGCTCCTGCTAAACTGGTGTGTCCAAATAGCTAAGGTAAGTTTGTACAATTATTTAAAATTTCACAACTAAACAAAGAAACATAGAACTTCTCATAAAGCAGCAGTACCAATTCCTATGCAAGAAACAGGATTGGAATATTTAGTTTTTCTAAGATTATTGGGTAACCTTTTTAATTAACTCCAGTACTCTGTGCAAGAACATAATATGTACTGGCCAGGTAGCAACCAAAATATTTCTCTTGGCTAAAGCAGGATAAAGCAGTTTTACCATGGTGTCCCTGAAGAAAGGCAGCAGAAAGACCCCTTCTCCAATAAATCTCAATCTGGGTACAGAATGATTAAGTGACTTCTTCCATGTGACCTGCTTCTTCAGCCTATTGCCTGTACAAGCTGCTTGACTGACCTGAGGTTTCTAGACCTATCTGAATCCAAATTGCCCACCAGATCCTGATATATACCACCAGGGCACCAGCCTTTATCTGTGAAGATAAAAATTCTTTATTTATGGGCAGGGGTTGCCCCCTCACAGTTCTGCTGTGGCCAAGGGTTACCACAGTGGCAGCAGTGTAATACAGTTTAGTGCTATGATATGCTTTCTATCAAAGGCTTGATTCTGTAGTCTTTGCTCAAGTGTAAGTCCCATGGATGTCATTGAGATTTGCCTGAATTAAACCATCATCGTTCAGATAGGGACTCTAGCTCATTTGACATGGAAAAACAGCATAGACACAGACCATAAATCTACCCTTGATACAACCCATATTCAGCAGTGCTTTATTTATTTATTTATTTATTGCAATAAACATGCTGATATTCAGTGTCACACCTACAGCACATTATTTTGATATTAGATCACAAGGAATGATGTATTATGCAATTGTTAAAGAACTATAACTTACATACATTTTAGGGCTGTTCTGTTCTACCAGAGTGATGTACAGGGATCTAGTGTGAATGAGAACCAAGGACAATTTAACAGTAACTACTTAAAAAGTTGCTAATATTATTAATTGTTGTGTGAAAATATAATTCACTTGTGAGTGCATGCTTGTTTGCAGAGGTTATGCGTTTGCTACAGCATGTACCAGAAAGTCTTCTCTCTTAGTCCAAATCCAGTAGCTTATACTGAGCATGTCTATATTTATGCTTTAATACGCAGTAGCCTGTTTTACTGAGTATTAAAGCAGTATGTAAAAAAAAAAAGTGCAATTATGCTAATGTACAGTACAATAGGCTACTGAGCATTAAGCAAGACCTAAAAAAATGAGTTTGTGCCCCTGTGCATTCGGGAAGCCTAATGTTCATTAATTTAGTACCTTACATTGGAGGTACTAAATTGAATGTGCATTAGGAAAAGCAAATTAATGCATAAATGTGCATTTATGCATGTAGATGTGCTTGCTGTTTAGCGTTAGAGGGACCCAGTTCAGGCTGTGGTGTGTCAGGAGGAAAGCAGCCAGCAGGAAAATATTTGTTATTTCTCTCTGGGTATTTGTAGGGCATATTAAGAAGTGTGTTAACTTCCTCATCCCGTGTCTGAAAACATTTTCCTCTTCTCTCTCAGAAAAACCTCCTTTCCATCTGTTTTTCACTCTCTTGATTGATTATGCTTGTTATTATTTATTACCAAACATTTCCATGGTTCCATGCATATAAAAATAACCCACCTTTGTTTCCAAAAGTTGCATAACATTCTTCTGCTCTATTCAGCACTTGTGAAACCTCACCTGAGTATTGTGTCCAGTTGTGGGCCCCACACTTCAAGAAGGATGTGGACAATTTGGAAAGAATTCAGTGTAGAGCAGCAAGAATAAATAGGGATTTGGGAGGCAAGGCTTAAAGGCTGAAAGAACTAGGGTTATTTAGAATGGAGAAGAGAAGACTGAGGGGACATTTGATAACTGCCTAAAAACATTGGAAGAACAATTATAGAGAGGATGGAGATGGGTTTTTCTCTTGGCTGTAGGGTACAGGAGTAGGAGCAATGAACTCAAGCTGCAGCAGGGGAAGTTTAGGTTGGAGATTAGGGGGAACTTTCTGACTATGTGAATGGTCAAGCATTGGAACAGGCTACATAAAGAAATTGTGGAATCTTCCTCCTGGGAAGTTTTCAAGATCAGGTTAGATAGACATCTGGCTAGGATGGTTTAGTCAGGGATGGTCCTGCCTTAAGGAAAGGTATGGACTAGATGACCTTGTGAGGTCCCTTCCAGCCCCACTTTCCTATGATCCTATAAGCGTCTGATTGTTCAGGCTCTAATGAGACAGCTTGCATTGGCCTAGCCTGATCAGACTTTCCATGGCACTTGCTGTTGCTTTGTCAGAGCTTTGTATAGGGAGCTGATATAGTGCAACAGCTGAAGCAGGGAAGCAATGATCAGTAGTACAGGTCACTACTAATGGTAGCTGGGGAGACTCATCATCATGGAAGTCACTTACAGTTTTCCACTGGTGTTCAGTGGAATTAGGATCAGATCCAAAATTCAAGCTCTTGTGTGGAGTGGAGGCCTAGGTTTAAGCACCCTACTTGGAAAAGTATAGCCTAGAATACTTGATGATTGGAATGTGCATGAGCATGCATGTGCATATGTGTGTTTGGGAGAAGGAGGTGAAATATCACATTTGAAAATGTGAATACTGAGATATCAGTCTAGCATTCCAAGAAAGATAGACCAAATGGACGCATCTACATGTGACACTGCAGCGGGGTGATCCCTCATTACGGCATACCACTACAGCAAAGTGGCACCTAAAAATAACCACGTGCTCAGTGTACAGTACAGTATGAGCTGCTACTGCACCATGCTTTAGTACTTCCAAAAGGAAGTACTAAAGCACAGCACAGTAACAACGTCACTGTACAGGCATGTGCAGATGCACCCAATGTGTGATATTAACAGATGAACTACATGGGAGAAAGAAGGAAATTCTTTGAAACAAAAGGTGGCTTACTGAGAGGAAGAAGCAAAGTTTAATTAATCCATCTTCCTCCATAGCTCAATAACTGAAAGGTTAATTTAGCTTTGGCCTCATGTTACAGCATGAGGCTCATCTGCTTGGCTCTTCACAAAGAAAAGTGTTACAAACATCTGCTTTCCTTGAAACTGCATATTGCATGCTACATAGTTGCCCTTTTCCTTCTTTATAGTCACAGCTTGACTGGACCTGTCACTTCTTAGTTGCTAGATGTGCATCTCAGTTGTGTACCCTGCTTTGCTTTCTTGACAGTACTGGTTTGCAGAAGGACTAAAAGCAAAAGAATCATACACGTTACAAGGGATGTTCTCCATTGTGCCAGCAGTAGCTTGTCAGTGCATTTCTATGATGCAAAGTGAGGAGACGGTTCACTTAGTACAGAAGGCTACTACAGATGCTGAATATTAGTATAAAATAAGCAATGGCGGGGTTCAAAGATAATAATTGTTCATTTTACCTTGAGAGAGGAGGGCTGAAGGAAAAAGAGGGTGTTGAGATTCATTCTGTATAACCAGCAGGTATATGCAAGAGTCAAACGCAATCAAGCCTAAACTGTATAATCAACAGTAAGATACCACAGAGCAGGGGAAAGAAGGTCTTATTTTACCAGAACAAGGTCTATTCTGTATCACATATCACTGCTGTTGAAGAACCGTATCTCTTCATCAGAGCTCTTTTATATTAAAGATGTTTAATGTCTAAAAGCAATGCATGGAAAAAAAAATTGTGAGGTAGTGATGACAAAAAATCTTGATGGGCCAACTGATGGTGTCCTCTTATCTAAAAAATTGGAATGAATTTGGGGCAGAAAACTTCATGACAGGGGTGTACCAGTATTGCCATGCCACTCATCAGTCACATTTAATGGCTGAAAGATTTGGTTTGCTTGCAAATAGCCAGGTTTCCAGAAGAATGAATGCCGAAGCAAGCTATTGCATCAAACTAGAGTGCCCGTTATATTACTAAGTGAAAAATCTGTGTATTTTCCATGTATCTGTGTCCACAGAGCTTTGTAGTTTAGTTTACAGGCTCGGTCACCTAGCATGGGGATTGTTTTCAACAGCAGGCTTTTTGGGCATTTTGGAAAGGTTTATTGAGCCTGTCTCAAAGCTACCAAAAATGCAGTCGGGTTGTAACAGGAGCAAATGACTGTTTGGTGACCACCCAGACATGTACTCAGCCACCCTGGGGCGGCTTCAGATGTCTGCCTTTCATTGAATATATATCCATTTTCTCCCCTCTCCTGTTTTTGAGGACTTTTTTTTCCCCTGGTAAGGACAGGGATGAAGGATGTTGAATTGCCTTGATATTGGGGTTTGGGTTTATTTCTTTGAATGTTTTAAAATTGAGTTAGCATTGCTGCAGTGCATACCTTCCCTGTTGTGCCTTTTTCTTTCTACCAACATGCAGGCTTGTTTTTATTAGAGATATTACTTCAGAACATTTGCTAATTCTGCCTGGACAATCATTTCCAGATGTCTCTAGTTTTTTTTTGTTGTTTGTTTTTTTTTTTAAACTAGATGCAGAAGCTAGATAGGAAGATGGCTGGGTACCAGTGTCAAGGCCTCTGGAGATCTTCTTTGAAGGTTGTCTTTAGGACAGTTATTAAATAATATTCACTGACACTTGAATGGGAAATCAGCTGTCTTTATTTTGCTTTTATGGACTGTATACACTTTATTTTGGTTATTATGTCATTGTAGGCTAATTGCAGTCTCTTCCAGTAGCTTAAGCTTCTTATTCCAAAGACGAAAGTCCCAGAGGCAGAGCTGCCTCAAACACTCTAAATAAAATATGGCCAGTAGGCAGCAGACATATCTGAGCGGACTTAGTTCTTTTAGTTGGCAGAAATGTAAAGCCTCTCCAATGCTTTGTTAGAATACATAATAGCTTAGAGACTGAGCCTGTGACATTTTAGCCTAGAGTTCAACCAACTAAATATTTCAGTGGCTTAAGAATTCAACTGTTAGTGTTTTCATGTGAAATCCCAAGACACGTAAGTGCAACAAAGCAATAATCCCTCAGGTTTGCATCCCCTATTCACATACCAAGGTACAA